CCATGGTGGCCAGGAAGCAGAGACAAAGAGAAAAGGTCTAGCAATAAGATACACTCTTCAAAGGCACTCCCACTGATCTACTTCCAGCTAGGCCACTAACAGTCACTCAACTATGAATTCATCAGTGGACTTTGATGAAATTAGCACTCTTATAATCCAGCCAATTCCCAAGAGCCTCACCTCTGAACAATGCAATGGGGTCAAGCTTCAACACACAATTTTGGGAGAGTCGTTTCATATCCAACCCTAGTATGAATCACTTACTAAAATCTACTTATATATTTTACAATCTTACTTATACTTATGCAGTGCAATTGAGGTTAATATCACATACTCATACTACACATGCTCAGCTTATAACGCCTATCCTTTGTATTTCAGCCAAAGCATAAACAATAGCAAAACTCCAAACTCTTTAGTATAGAGGGCACAAGATACTTTCACCCTGATGTATTGACCCTTTGATTTTTAACTGGCGTTGACATTATAGCAGTAAGTCACATTATTATTAGCTGTTAAGAGTTTACATCCTTTGCCCCTTAGCCACAAATACAATTCCAACATGATCAATGTAACTAAAACAGATGGGAAGCATGACCTAAATTCTGTTTCACACAAAAATCAGAAATACAGCATGCCTTTCACAAGCCTTTCATTCAGAAAACTCACTCTGTGTTTAAAGATGATGACTTTTGTCTTTAAAACTATTTAAGGCTTAAAGCTCTTAAAACTTAAGTGTTGAGAGCAGCTTAAAGGACAGGTATTAATAAACAATCTAATCCCCACACAGTCCAAATTGGACTGTTTGATTTTCCTTACTATTTTCATTTCCATTTAAACATCCAGACAATATCTGGAAAGTAAGGTTCCTCCAAGTGAAGTTTTAACAATTCCTTGTGAAGGACGTCAACTAGAAATGACCACCAGGCTGTAAGGAAGCATTAAGGAATCTGCCCCCAGTGTGAGGCTAAAATGGAAGACACAACAAGTAACTATTCTCTCTTAAGAAGATAAATAAAAAACTCGCAACCCGTTTCATTTAAACCTTAACTTGGAAAACTTTCCAACCTTCTCCCTTTAAAAAAAAGAAAGAAAGAAAGTAGAACAATTATAACAAGGGGTGGTGTACAAGAGAGACCCAGGCAGTATCCGGTGAGCAGACACTCACTGGAAAGTGCTTTAAGGTACACGGTGTAAGGCGGCTCCTGTGTTCCAGGGGTTCCAGTCTCAACTATCAGTACATGACCACCACTTAAGGCTGTGTTAGGCCATTCTAGACTACTGTTACTGCTAACCTGTTTCCTGATGTTGGCTGGGATTGGGAGTAAAGACAACCTGGAGATGTTAGGAGAAAGAATGGACAAAGTCCAAGAAGACATTGCCCAAGAGTGATAAATGAATGATAGAGAAGACAAGGCTGAAATCAGATCTTCAAGTATTATTGACAATGGTTTTCTTTTCTTTCTTTTCTTTTCTTTTTTTTTTTTTTTTTTTTTTTGAGACAGGTTTTCTCTGTGTAGCCCTGGCTGTCCTGGAACTCACTCTGTAGGCCAGGCTGGCCTCGAACTCACAGAGATCTGCCTGCCTCTGCCTCCCAGAGGGCTGATATTATAAAGGAGTACACCACCATCCCCTGGTGACAATGGTTTTCTGAAAGAAGATCCACCATTAGGACTTGCATGTTATTTTCTTTATATGCACGTGTGTGGCATTCATATGTATGTGTGTGTGTTTACACGCGAAGGCCTGAGGACGATGTTGGGCGTCACCCTCAATCCTTCTCCACTTTATTGACTGAGGTGGAGTGCCTCACCCACTGAGCTAGTCTAATCAGGCAGTCTGTCCAGCAGACCCTGTCTCAGCCTCTGGAGTGCTGGAATTAAAAGCTGCCATGCACTCTCAGTTTTTATTCAGACCTTCAGCTGAGGATCTCATCCCAAGTCCTCATGCTTGCATGGCAAGAACCTTATTCACCGAGTCTTCTCTCCAGTCCTATTTCGTCTCCAGGAAGAACACACAACATAAAATGTATATATACAGGACGCAAGCCAGGGGAAGGAACGCGAGAAGAATTAAGAAGGTCTTGGGCAACCACCAGTGGTACAAAGTTCAGTCACTAATGCTCAGAGTCTACAGAAGCTAACAAGCCTATTAGTTAACTATCTGAAGTGTGATCTCAGGAAGCAGAGTGACCTGGGTTCTGCTCCACAGAAGGCCAGAAGCTGTACCCTTTCCTACTGGTGAGAAAAGGCAGGCAGACTATTAACGGCATATCCAGTGAGAAAAAAGAAGGGTAAAGAGCATAAACAGCCTACAGTTCACCATCACCTCAAATCCGTGTTCAATTACTGTCCTCCGTAAGGCATGCTAGTAATCCTAAATTTGAGACAAGAAGGACTAGACTACACTGTTTAAAAAAGAAACAAAGTATACAACATACTGCAATACATTTTCTCACAAAAGTATACCTAAAGTAAGAATTAGCACTTGATATATTATTTTGAGACATTAGATAAATGAGGCAAAGCTATGCACACAGCAGAAAGTCAACATCTGAGAACAGACTTCCTTATTCTGCATTTGGCTCTTTCCTTCTTATGCATTCATCATTTCCTAGCCCTTGGCCTCCTTTTATAACAGTCTCCTCTAAAGCGGCCAGTACTTTCTCACAAAATACTGACCTCAAACATACCTAAGCACACTGTCTCATTCTGCACATCCGACACTCAGTCTGCATCCCTAAGGTTCTTTAGAGACAGGCATTTCTTCTGTTTTTGGCAAGGAAGAAACCTGCATCAGAAGACCTTTTCATTATTTAGAGAAGAGTTTATTAATTTCTGTAATCAAGCCCATGTAGCAGATCTCTGCATTGTATTCTTCTCTAGGCAGCTCTCGCTGTTATCCTGACATTTTAAGTTAGTCAGAAAGGAATTTCGGTGGCAAAGTAAGGACTTATGTTCTGCACCCCAGGCTCACATTATTGAACTCATTAGTCACAAAGAAGGAAAAGAGGGAAGATATGCAGGTGCTGGAGAAGTACTTAAGGGAGACAGAACCTTCCTTTCCCATCTCCAATATAAGGGACATGTGGATGGTCAGCATTGATGCTGCTGGTATGGTTATTTCCAAGAATTCTTCTATTAAGGTAAAAACACTGGCCCTCCATCCAACTGCTCAGCCAACACAGGTGGCAGGAGAAAGTGTGTGCAGCTCCCCATGACCAGACTTGGACAGGCTGCAGGTGGCTGGAACACCATATAATCACAAGACAGAATCTCAAGACAACACCAATAAACAGTACCCTTTGCAGACACTCGCCTTGACAGCACATTTCCAACAGAAATCTGAAACACATAGCGTTGGCTTTTTTTTTTAAATTATTCCTTTTGATTGGAAGGGGGGGGGCTAAAAAAATCTAGTATTTGCACCAGAATATCTATGTTTTCCTCACACTAATTTTCATTTATTAATTCAACAAATAACTCACGTACATTTACTATGCACCCTATGAATTACAACTGTAGGATCTCAGGGTAACAGTGCTCCCTACCCCAATCCACAAAATCACCTCGTATGCAATCACAGCTCGACCTGACATCCGTATCTCCTCCTAACTGTAACGGTGCACTCTAACAGCAGTCTCCAGAGTGAGATCTTAGAGTTAAGATTTAAATAGTTATCAACTTGACGGCGGAACTTCCTGGCATTACACTTACAGCACTGAAACAGTAGTCACAGGGAGCTAATTCATGTCCCAAGAGTAGACAGAAAATTTCACTGAGGAATTGAAAATTCAGAAAAGAGTTTTTTAAGACATCAGAAGGTTTTTAAAAACATCAGAAGCTTTAAGGCTGTATGAAAAAGCTGGAATGGAAATCAAGAGAAGTGACTAAAAGCAAATAATCATTAACTTAGCATAAAATAATTACGATATAAAAGATTATGAAAAATAAGCCAGTGACTTGCTTTTTCCAAAGTATACATTTGTTCAAAATATATACATACAAAAAAAGGCACGTGGTTAAACAAAGTGTACCTATCTTCTGACACTAGCTTTAAAAAAACAAATCAACCCCATTTTCACAAGGAAAGCTATTAATCCCAGATTTTTTCTTTTTCTTTTCTTTCTTTCTTTTCTTTTCTTTCTTTCTTTTTTTTTTTTTTTTTTGGTTTGTTTTTGAGACAGGGTTTGTCTGCGTCACCCTGGCTATCATGGAACTAGCTCTGAAGTAGACCAGGCTGGCCTCAAACCACCTGCCTCTGCCTCCTAAGTGCTGGGATTAAAGGTGTGCACCACCACCTCCTAGCCAGATTTTTAAAAATTTAATTTAATTTTTTTGAAACAGCATTCCTCTGTGTAGCAGTCCTGACTGTCCTGGAACTAGCTCTGTAGACTAGGCTGGCCTCAAACTCACAGAGATCCTCTTGCCTCTGCCTCCCTAGGGCTGGGATTAAAGGGACACACCAAGCACTGTACTGCTCTCCTTTGATACGAATTTTCAAATGTGGAATGGGCATCTTGTTGATGGCTAACTGTTGGTTCTGAGACACAAAATCCAACATCTTCACAAACTTTAAGAAAGTTATTAACTTAATAATTTTAAAGTTACCTTAAACTGGTTCAGAGCCTAAACAAATAATTTAGCATCTTTAATACCTGAACCTGTTTCTCAGGATGATGCAGAAGTGCTCTCGGGTCTTGCATAAATTCAGGGAAGGAGGAGCACAATGAAATCACTAGCCCAGTGGAATTCATGCATGGATTTTCAACCCAAGTAATATAGGCATGGTTAATAAATGACAATCTTGACCTTTACCTGATTACTGATTGTATTACAAAGTGTAGATCTCAATAGTGAAAAGATCGAATTCTTTTTTCCTTCCAACGTGAGCCGTCAAACGTCCAGAGGGAAAGTGGCTGAGTAGATGACCCTGACACCTGGCCCTAGACCCAAGTGACAACGTTCAACGTATCTTTCCCGCAATTGTAAACTCCTTACCCATCCTACTGAAGATAGTCTTTTAACGAAGTAATTGTGTAAGGACCATCCACGCCTTGTTCCCCCTTTTCTCCTTTTTATCAGGAGCCTGACAGCTAACTGACTCCTGATTAAAAAGAATGTCTTATCCACAATCAAGGACACGGCTTGACAGCGTTCACATTCGGCGTGAAGGCAACGTCTGAGTTCGCTCTGAAACGCCGGGCCATCATCACACCCGGAAATGAAACCGCCAGCGCAGCCCACTCTGGACTACGGTCTCCTCTCAAGTTGTGCCCCACGGCGCACCGAGCGCCCGACCCCAGGACACGGCTGCTCTCTCCGACCCAGGGCCTGCAGGTCACTCGCGCTCCTCGGCCACCGGGCGGGCCCGGCAGGGACCGGGCGAGAGCGCCGCTCCTCCCTGGGCCACCGACACCAGCTCAGCGTGATCGGAGGGCGACGCCAGGGCCAGGCGCCTCCGGGGACAGTGCTCGGCAGCGAGCACCGGTCACCGCAAGGACTCCCGACCGTCCGCGCCTCCGCAGGGCCGGCTCCACCGGCCGAGCCGCCCGCAGCCTCGCGGGGAAGCCGGGAGCCCCGCATCCGGCCCCAGAGGGAGGTGCCCCGCCCCCCGCGCTTTCCCGCCCGCCCTCCCTCCCTCCCTCCCTCCCTCCCGCCGCGCCCGGGGGGGGGGGGGTGGGTGTCGCGCGCCCTCTCCCGCCGCGCCGCTCACCTGGCGGGCCTCAGGCTCGCTCCATAGCCGCCCGCGCGGTGCGGTGCGGCGCGGCCCCGGCCGCCCCCGCCGCCTCCGGGGAGGGGCAGCCCCACGCCGCGCTCACCGCCCCCAGCCGCCGCCGCAGCCGCCGCCGCCGCTGCGGCTCCCGCCCACTGCCGGCCCGGCCATTCCCCGGCCGCCGCTCCCCGCGGAGCCGGCCGCTCCACACCCACCCCCGCCTCCGCGCCGCTCGGCTGTTGGTACGGTCCTCGCGGAACGCCCTCCCCACGGCCAATCCCAGCGCGCACTGGGCGCGGCCCCGCCCCCGTGGCGGGTGGGCGGGACTACCGGGCCGCTCCGGGCCGCCCTCTTTAACCCCTTCACTCCCACCCCCCCCGTTCAACTCCGCCGCAGCCACCGTCCGCGGGTATGCCCAACCAAGCCCGTTGACATCAACTAGCTTCTGGCTTCTCTCTTACCTCCACTTTTGCTTTCCCGCAGTCATCTAGGTGAAGTTCTTTTCGGAAGAAATGATTTTCTTTCTTTCGCTCTGCTGTCTTGACTTCTCCTTGGAGATTCTACCTAAAAGTGTCCTTCCCTGACCAGAAGAGGCTAGACTTCCCAACCGTGGGAATTGCTAAAACTTCGGGCCAGAGCAGAGCTCCCCGCTATACCTTTTCAGTCGCACGTAACAAAGATCCTGATAATTTTATTGTAATAGCAGTTGCTTTAGGTTTGTCCCTCACGGTGGACTGTAAGCCGCAAGAGGGCAAATCAGATGCGTCTTGATTTCCAGCACCCTGCACCCACCCACTAGACTCCAGCCGCGTGAATGAGATGCTCCTCCCCCTCCACTTAATGCGTGTCCTTTCCACTTACTCCGTACACAGCATCTACTGTATAATGCATACATTTATTCACCATATACTCAGCTTACACATAGTCTGCCTGACCCTAAAATATTATGGTGTCCGTTCTTCATGGGATACCATTTGTAAGGGCGCGCGGGGGGGGGGGGGGGGGGGGGGAAGGAGGGGGGAGAGACTAAGCAGGCCTTTCTTTCAAGAAGGAAAGAAATGGTCGGACTTTTTTTTCTCCCTGCCTGTATGCCTTAGGGTATACCAGTTAACATCTCTGAGTATGAGGTTCCTTGGAAAATGGCAGTTAATCACAGTACCTATTTCACAAGACTGCTGTGAGGCTTAAATAGGAAATGTGTGCAGAAAATACATTATTGTGTGAAGTTAGTTGTTATGCGTGTGTGTGTTGAGCACTTTCAATGAGGAAATCCAGAGGAACTATTGGACTTGACGCCCAACCCCAGACGATCTAGTGAGGAAAAGCAGCATTAATCACCACTGGAAGCATTAATCACTGCAAGGAGTGCACAGGCCAGCGACAAAGGTACTGACTGTATCAGCCTTTTACTGCATGGAGTGGAGAAGGTTTGGGGTCGTTAGCTGACCACAGAATGCACAATTCTTGGGGAAATTGGCCGGATGATAATGAGAATCTGCCTTATTTCCCAACAGGAACATGGGTCTGCTGGCAGTCAGCTCTTCGTCCCACATGTGGGGGCCCACAGAGGCTCTCTAGTATGGCCTTACTCAAGGTCAGAGAATCTGAACTTGCTTTACCCAGCAGGGCTGCATAATGGGATGATTGGGGCAAGGGCATGGTTACCAGGTGTTTTGAAGGGTCTACACTTGGCTGTACGTTGTGCTTTGAACTCAAAAGGGGGAGGTCTTTTGCATCTCTCCTTGGTAGTGTATAAAAAGCCCATTTGAATAAAGGACAAGGTGACTAGGTATTGACCCAGCCCACCCCACCCCACCCCCAAGCTATCCTGCATCTCTGTCTTTCTCTCCATCTAGGCCTATATTTCTAATAGTTCCTCATTTCCTCTCTTCTCCCTGCAAGAACCCTGCAAGGAAGTCAACAGTTCCTCTCAAACACTGCACCCAAAAGTATCCCTTCTTCTCTGTCATTCTAATGACACTGAGGACGGACTCTGCCCCTGTCACTACTCAGGGGAAGGCTGGCTCATCCTGAAGCCTAGCTTCCTGGAGATGATGCTTCTCTGAAGGAGGGTTCCTGGCCCGTGGAGACAACCCAGTCAGGTGCTTAATTTCATATCCATTCCACATACTGCAGTAAAAACACTCTTCTTCCTCAGAGGGTTCAGAATCTCTGTCTCAAAGGCTTTCACACAGAACACTTAGTCTGTCTCTGCTTTCCTGTCACCAGGCTGCATTACTGAGACTCTCTGCGACTGCATACACCACACCAGTACTGTGCCTGACACTTCATGACATCCTCAGGCCTGTAAAAGCACCCACAGTCAATATAGTCTCAGTGTCTCAAGGGAGGTGATCATCTAAATACGAGTGACTAGTACACGGGAAGCAGCTGCAGGGAGACAGGACACCTAAATTATGCAGCACAGACTCTGAATCAGAGTCTGGGAAGAGTGTGGGCTGGAGCTGTCAGGGAAGAAGGATTGAGGTGGGCAAAATATGGGTGGGAGCAGAGAATAACAATATGAACCCAAAGCTGTGCAGTGTTATGAGAAGTTATAACTGATATCCTGGGCAGATAACACAGGGTAAATGTGTTCATTCATTCATTCTTTGTACATTCATTCATCTACTGAACACGAGTGCCAGGCAACCATGCAGAGATGAAGAGGGCCCCAGCCCCATCTCTGAGAAGCTTTCAGGCTCAGTGGCGTTCCTTCTGGGATTCAGATCACTTGTAGAGTTGTATTCCTTTCCCCGGTCATGGGATGGACTGTGGTTTTAAGTATCCAGTTAGTCTCCTCTTGGCTTTTCTCTCCCCTGCCCCCAGACTGCAAGGTTCTTAAAGCCACAAACTGTGACTTAATGTAATGGAGCGCCTTCTCCAGGTGCACAGGTTGCAGCTCATTGAGTTGAAACCGGAGCAGGAAATGGGTTGTCCCTCTTCCACGGAGAGCAGTGGACCACCCTCAGCAGAGGAATAGTAGTTACTAGCCCAAGTGTGGATTGCTACCAGAGGCTAGCCTGTGGCCTGCACAATTCACCAGGACCCTTCCTGCTTGGTACATGCAGTTCCTCTCTAGTGCATTCCTTAAGCTCCTCCCACAGGTCTCACTAGGGCAGCTTTCCCTGTCAGTGAGACTGACTCCTCCCTCACCCAGCCTCAGGAGTGCTAACCGTCTCTCCATGTCATTTGACCTTTCATGGGCTTTCCAGCGTGTTTCCTTTTCTGAACCTCTTGGGAGCCTAGTGCCTTGGTTGGACCCCTCTGATGGCATGGTTTATTGAGGTTTTGGGGGATTTCTCAGTCACCATTCCCATGGGTACAAAGCCTTTCAATGCCAAAGACAGCGTTGTGGTGATCCCTGTGTCTTCTGTATTGTCAGCACCGTACGCGGATGTATAGACATGCCCCTTTAAAGAGAAGCTTGAGGACAGCAGATCTTGTAGGACCAGGTGCCTGGCGCTTGCTCCCTCCGTCATTTTAACCATTTCCTAAAAACTGCTCCAGAACTTCCAAGCCTCGGTCAATTTGTCAAGTCCCAGGCCTCCAGCAAACGTGAGGTATTAGGGAAGCATTTTCTTCTAGCCCCTGCACACACAAAGGCAGCACACAATGTTTCTTTGAACCTACTTAATACACCCACCATGATGGCTCCCCTTGAAACCAATAGGCGAATTCTACATCACGCTAGCTGAGGAGAGCCCTCAGGAAACTCTGTCTACGAGCCTGGGGAGAGAGTGGCAAGGAAAGTAGGGAGTGATGGAGCACACACAGATTCTGCCATTCCCTGCCAGGAAGGAGTGCTCATCTCAGCTGCCTCTAGGAAGTCTTGTTCTCTGCAAGAGGCTCTCCCTGGACTATTGGCAGAAGTTTCTGTTCCACCAACAACTCCCAAATACCCAGCAGCCACTTTCCAAATTACCATATAGAAGCTTATATTAATTATAACTGCTCGGCCATTAGCTCACGCTTATTACTGACCAGCTCTTACATTTAAATTAACCCATAATTCTTTTTTTTTTTTTTTTTGAGACAGGGTTTCTCTGTGTAGTTTTGGAGCCTGTCCTGGAACTAGTTCTGTAGACCAGACTGGCCTCAAACTCACAGAGATCCACCTAGCTCTGCCTCCCAAGTGCTGGGAATAAAGGCGTATACCACCACTGCCTGGCAACCCATAATTCTTATCTATGTTTAGCCATGTGGCTTGATACCATGTCTCAGCTTGACATTCTCATCTTGTTTCTTTGGCATCTGGCTGGTGACTCCTGACTCCACCCTTCCTCTTCCCAGCATTCTCCTAGTCTGCTTGCCCCACCTATGCTTTCCTGCCTGGCTACTGGCCAATCATATTTTATTAAAACAATTCAAGGAACAAATCTTTACAGTGTACAAAAGCATTATCCCACAGCATATCTCCTTTTTTGTTTAATTAAAAAGGAAAGTTTTAACCTTAATATAGTAAAACAAAAACAGTTGTTAAGTAAGAATTATAGTAACACTATCCAATTCATTTGCATTTGACAAAATTAGAGAAAATATTTAAGTATCTATCTTATCTTGGTGAGTCAAAAGTTTTGTATCTAATTTATCTTTTATTATAAC